CTAAGCCTTCTTCTTCGATTCTTCTTCTTCGACTTGTCCGGCGTCACTCTTCCTCTCCGGTCTGCAGTTCTCCTTCTCCAGTCTCTAAACTCTAATCCATTGCTTCTCCAAATTCCAAACAAATTGGCAAAGAAGAAACCCAAAAGAACGATTCTTTAGCTCTTCCGTCCAGATTCGGAAACAGAGTTCTTCTGTTCTTCATCAGATCTTCATCTTGTAGCCATCGCCAAGGTCTTTCTCTCTCTCCATCGGTCGATCCTCGTACTGCTTCTGTTCTTCATCAGATTTTCATCTTGTTGCGAAGGTCATTCTCTCTCTCGATCCTCTTCGACCCGACAATCTGTTGATCTTCTCCAGTTCTCTTCAAGTAATACAGGAATCACTTTCAGCTTGTTGCCTTGCTCTGCATTTCGTTGCTTTAGTTTAGTATATTCCTCATCTTTTTATTGCTTATTTTGGAGAGCAACAATTTGTTGGGTTTTGCTTGAATTTTTTTAGCTTGCTGCTTTGCTCTGCATTTCGTTGCTTTAGTTTAGTATATTCCTCATCTTTTTATTGCTTATTTTGGAAAGCAACAATTTGTTGGGTTTTGCTTGAATTTTGTTTTGGTATTTTACATATTCGGCATTTCTGTTTCAATTTATATACAGAGTATATTGAATTTTATTTTGGTATTTTGCATGTTCTGCATTTCTGTTTCAATTTGAATTTTGATTTGGTATTTTGGAGAGCAACAATTTGTTGTATTTTGCTCTGCATTTCTGCATTTTGATATTTATTTATAGAGCATATTTCTGTTTGAATCTATTCTAGCATGACAAAAAGCTGCTTGGTTTCCTAGAAAATGAGCAATGCCCCGATTTTATTACATAGGAATAGAATTTTTTAGAGATTATATCCTCAAATCGAGCAGAATAGGCAAAGGGCTACAGGTCCCTTTGTTTGTCTTTATGAATGCAAATTATCGTAATTTTGTTTAATTATATTATATAGATGAAATTAATGTTAATTAACTGAAATTTGAAAGTAAACATTTGAAACTGAATTAAGTTTATTTTAGTTTTTTAACCATCAGTTTTGGTTTTGTTATTTGTGAGAATTACCAAGATTCTTGATAGTTGAAATGGATCTAAATACTTATTTAGCAATTTTTCTAGCCTTATCTATTTTGTATTGGGCTACTTTAATGATTTTATTTTATTTTGTTGTAGAATTACAAAAATATGTATCATCTGTACAAAATTCAATTGCTACATCTTTCCAACCTTTAAGAACTAAAACAGATGCAGCATGGGAGCATCTTCCCAACCTTCAATAATTGTAATTTATGCATTATTTGCATATTAGTTTGAGTTTTTGGATTTATTTTTCATATATATATATATATATATGTGAGACTTATTAATTTTAAGATTTGTAGTTATATGATACTTTTTTATCTATTTGTTGAGTTTTTGGACTTATTTTTATGTATTTATTGAGTTTTTGGATTTGTTTTAATGTATTTATTGAGTTTTTGGACTTGTAATTGCTACAAATTGCAAGGAAAAAAAAAGAGAAAGCTGCAGCAGGGTCAAACGTAAAACACAATATTTCTGTTTTTGCATTTTCCGTTTGACCCGGCTGGTCGGCTGGTTGAACCGGTCGGACCGGTCAAACTAGGAACCAGTGAGCAAATCAGTTTTATATCCGGTTCAGGTTTCAAAACACTGATTTAGGGGTCCGGTAAAAAAAAATTACATTTAATTTGCATAATGTATAATTTTGATATTTATGTTTATATGTGTCTAAGTTAATTTTTGTGCAATTCAAAAAATTGCAATCCATGAAGTACTTGCGTTTAAATGTTCCCAAATCAACTTTTTGCAATCTAGGAAAATATGATACTTTCTATATAAAAATTAAGAATTATACATTAAATTTGTGATTAAAAATACAATTAATTTTACTGTTAAACTACATAATTATTAGTATAAATATATGGTATTTATGCAAATATATCACCCCTAAACAGAGTAATGACTAATGACTAATGACTAATGACGACGATACTACAAGAAATGGGCCTCTGCCATTACCGTGCTGAAGCAGTAATTACCAAAAGGTTAAAAATACCCCTTCAGCCTGCCATTTGGTATTTTCAACCGAACCATGCTTCCAAATTTGGGTTGGCAAGGGCGGTTGCCATGGCAGGCCGGCAGTTCGCCCAGCCCCCTATGGTACTATAAACCTTTTTTAACATTTTCTTTTCCATTATACACGCAAATACAACTGTTGATCACGTGTTTATACATTGATGAGTTTATATTAATATAATAATTATAGTCCTTTAATAAAAAAAATTTATTTATTCACGTGTATTTAATAATATTAAATTTTAAAAATAAGTTAAACTTCAATTTAGTTCCTAAATTATTGTATGAATCTTTTATTTGACCTTAAATTAAAAATTCATGATTTGGTCCCTAAGTTATTGTATGGACTCTCAATTTAGTCCATATTGTTTACCAATTTACCCTAAATTGGTCATTCTGTACAAAAATAATTGATGTATCCGTTATTTAACAACGAAAAATAGTAACTAAAGACTACATGTTCATGTTAATAACAAAATATATTAATTGGATATTTTATAGAAGGATCAATTTGAGGTAAATTAGTAAATAATCGAGATCAAATTGAGGGTCCGTCCAATAATTTAAGAATCAAATGAGAGATTTTTTTAGTTTAAGAATCAAATCGATGATTTATACAATAGTTTAAGGACCAAATTAAAATTTTAACCTTAAAAATGTTAGTTGAAAGGTTACGTTTCAAATAGGTTTTCCAAAAAAATAATTTAAAAAGAGAGTTGCAAATCACTTTTCCATCTATATATAGTCAGTTCTTCACATCAATAAACTTCAGTCCTCACCTTTAGCATTCTGCTCTTTGAGCTGGCGTTGACGATCAGCATGGGCTCTTCTTTCCGCCACGAGTCTTCTGATGCCTCTGCAATGGCTACTTCCTTCAGCATGAAGGAAGACAATGACGAAGTTGAGCTGCAGTGGGCAGCCATTGAGAGACTTCCTACTTTCCGGCGGATAAGGTCGTCATTGTTTCCGAAAGAGGGCAAAGAAGAGAGAGAGATGGAGGTGATAGACGTTACCAAGCTTGGAGCCCCGGAACGCCATGTTTTCATTGAGAGATTGATAACCAGAGTCGAGGAGGATAATCTCCGGCTTTTGAAGAAACTCAAAGAAAGAATGGAAAGGTAATAACTAAACTCTTATTTACAAGCAAATAATTGATTAAATTGCAAATGCATTGATATTAATCTGGTTTTAGGGTGGGATTGGAGCTGCCGACAATCGAAGTGAGATACCAGAATCTGTGTGTGGAAGCAGAATGTGAAGTAGTTCAAGGGAAGCCCCTCCCCACTCTATGGAACACCATCAGAGGTGTCTTCTCTGTAAGTCGCTTGCTCCTCCTAACGTGTTCGGTGGTATTTCTTTTTCTTTTTACTTTTTATACTTTCTGCTCCCCCTGTTTTAGGCATATAAAATTATAAAGATTAATGTTTTGCCGTCCACTTTAATATAAAAATATCAATCCGAAATGAGAGAAGAGAAACAGGATCAAATGAATTTCATGCAATCGAGATTCCTTAAGGGTATTTTCATCGTTTCTCAACCCAAATTGATAATTTTTTGTACAAAATGAATAGTATAAAAGGACGTTTGTTTTTATTTATTAAAAATAGTTATTAATTATTTGTTTTAATTAAATAAGTTAAATATTTTAAATTATATATATTAACAATTATTAATAATCAAATATCAATTATCAATTATAAACTATTTTGAAAAAACTAATCCAAACAACCTATAACACTTTTCTATTAACATAAATACAATTCTAAGAAATTCAAGTATATAAGTATTTTTCTCAAAAATTAAAGCAAAAAGAATACCATGTCTGCCTCAATCTCGGTAACGTTGATTGGAAGCTTTGTAGATCATAAAAGGTTTTATACGTTTATTGAGGAAAATATTAGACAGTGAGAATTTATATTAGTTCAATTAATAGAATAGTTTATTTCCGATGAAAAATATAATAGTTTCTTCTAGTGTTTGCTAGATGTTTAAACAAAAAACGAGAATACATTGTAAGATTTAAGGCGACTTTATGTTGAACAGGCTGTGACAAACGTTGGAAGATGCAACATGCAACGAATCAACATTAAAATTCTCAAAGAAGTCAGTGGCATCATCAAGCCTTCAAGGTTCACATCAAAGCTAGATAT